GTTTTCATTTTCATTGGTTTCCATGTATTTTTTTAATTCTTCTTTAATTTCCTGGTTGACCCATTCATTCTTCAGTAGGATGCTCTTTAGCCTCCATATCATTGATTCTTAATACACATTTAGACTTATGTTTGAGAATAAGTTTTATTTTTTTAGAGCTCTCTTAAATACTTCAAATAAAGGGCAGACTGTCACCCAAGACTGGCTATCAGCATTCTCTGTGTGGATTCCCCTCTTGATTCTTGTTCAACTTTGTACTCCATGCTGGGAATAAAAGCAGCGTGCCAACAACCACAGTAAACAGAGCTTTCCCACAGCCTCTTAAAATAGTAATTACCTGTCATACCTACCAAAGAGTGGACAGTTTTACTGTTTTATTTGCATAGAGCTAAAATGGGAGGGGTTTTTTCTTTGTGTTAAATAAGAACAGCAACTGACAATCCGGTGTCAATAAAATGCTTAATTTGGGGCCTTATTCCAGTATTTATTAATGTCTTCAAAGTATCACAAATCTTGGTGTTTGCATTGTATCGTATTGTATTTGGTGAATGGATTTGTTTTATTTTGAGGTCTGTTTTTTTACTTTTGTGATGTGATACTTTAGCTTCTGACTTTTGAGTGATAAAATATAAATTAGACCTTGACAGTGCACTGTTGTATTGAATGCTTGAATGGTGCACATCCAATAAATAATAGTGCTCTGTTATTTGTTCATTTGTTTGAGATTCAGCAATTTCATATTAGGAAATGCTTGATATCATCCTAAGTATATCATATAGAATAGTGACACCAAAGTTCATCTGTTTTCATAAAGCAGAAGATACAGCAATATGCTTTACTTATACTGTATTATTTGTTGTATATAATACAAAAATTGATCCAGTTTTAAGTTGTTTTTTGCTTTGTCCTCAGAGAGCAAATCAAAAGGCCTCCAGTGGATAATAGATACGACTATAGCTTATCCCAAAGCTGAACCCATAGATATTCAAACCTGGATACTTGGGTATAGGAAACCAACAGTCACACATGTACATTACAGGTAAGAAATTTGTGTTAGTAACCCAGCATATACCCAACATAAAGTACTATCTCAAGACAGTGTGTTAATATTAACGTTTTAATCAATAGTGAAAATAGTTGGCTCAAAATCATTCTTATGCTGACTTTTTAATATGAAAATATCATTTGAAGTAGTTATTTTCACTGAGTGATAAAAGTCTCTAAAAATGGCATTCTGGAGGCATTGTGATTACTTGATTGCCTGACACTCTGAGCAAAAGTAATTAGAGGCAAACATCAAGCATAAATATATGCTCATTTGGGCTAAGCAGATTTGTATTAATAGAAGTGGAATTTGTTTTTAAATCATTGAGTCACATAAGATCTTCTAAATGATTAAATTGAGAATTTAGCTAAAACTTACACTTTAAAATTTTTAATGTTTTAATATTTAACATTTTAATATATCATTTGCATGAACAACAGCAAAAACATTTATTGAATATTCTGTACCAGCTTCTTGAGATTTTTTAATGTAGATTGGTTTTTATTTTTTAAATTTTTTATTTTTTTAAAAAAGATTTTATTTACTTATTTGACAGAGAGAGACACACAGTGAGAGAGGGAACACAAGCAGGGGGTGTGGGAGAGGGAGAAGCAGGCTTCCCACGGAGCAGAGAGCCCAATGTGGGGCTCCATCCCAGGACCCTGGGATCATGACCTGAGCCAAAGGCAGACGCTTAATGACTGAACCACCCAGGCTCCCCTAGATTGCTTTTTTAAAAGGTTTTTATATTAAAGCACGATGCTGATGAAGCCTGGGTAGATTTGACCACTTTATAAGCCATTTGTATTTTACTCTGTTTCCTGGTCAAAGAGCTCAACTCCTGGCAACTCAGTTACAAAGTGGGTGTTGTGTAAGACTGTTGAATCACAGACCTTTACCCGTGAAACAAATAATACATTATATGTTAATTTAAAAAAACAAGCAACAAAGTGAGCAGTTGGTCCCTGAGAAGTTCACAATTGCCACAAAAGCCCTCAATTCAAGAGGAAAACTACTCAAATTACATACTCATTGAGAGTAAATAGGTACATGTTTTCATATGTATAAACCATCATAGTTTTACAAATAGAAGTACAACATTGGAATAATTTGAAACTAAAGTTTTAAAACTTAAATATTACAATTTGGGTTTTTGGTATGGAAGCAATAACTAGAAAATTACAGTTGATTCTGCTATGTGACTTACATTGCTAAATGGTGAAGTTCATGTGTGACCGCACTGACTCCATCCATTCCACGTATGCTGTCCATTTTACTTACTAAGCACTTAACTGTGTATAAGGCAGTATGCTAAGCCCTGACAGAATTTCTCCAGGAACAGTTTTATTTTCATATATACGAAGCTTATCTAGCCTTCAGTAAATTTTTAAATTGTAATCTATAAATGAAACTCAATTCTGATGCCCAAACCCAAAATAACTGACTCTTGGTTATAAGTTTTAGATGCATGTAGATTGTATTTGCATTGGATATATGTAGATCTTCCTAGCACATCATACCCAAAAAGAACTGAGACAAGGAAGAAACATTAATTATATAGGCATTCTATTATAGTTGACCCTTTCTTTTTTAACCAATAAAAAGAAAACAGTTTTAGTTTATAGATGAAAAAAATGAATGGAATCATAAAGGATCTAAGAAATTAAAGCAATGTCCATTTTTCGCAAAATTATTTTAACAGGAGTAAGTTCAAGGTCTTTAAATTCACTTTAAGTAGGGTTTCTTAACCTGGATGGACCTGAGAATTTTTTTTTCCCCCTCAAAATCAGATGTTACTTTAATTTAAAACATTTTTTTATTTGAGTGTGGTGGACACACACTGCCCCGTTGGCCTCAGGGTCCAAACACAGTGATTCAGCTTCTCTGTGCGTTATGCTCAGCCAAGTGCAGCTGCTGTCTGACCTCAGAGAGTTTTCTAGCCCAATCTCTGTGCAAAATATTGTGTACGTCTGCAGTTTTCTGCAGAGAAGTTTCACAGCTTTCGATCTAGTCTCAAAATAGATTAAGGATTTAAAAAAAGATTAAAGACTCCTGATTGAGAGATCCAAACCAAATAGTAGATGAAAGATGTGAAATGGTTAGCTTGATACAGAAAAATACTTCTACTGATAAAATTGAAGCTTCTGAGAAATTGGGTTTTTTTGTTTTTGTTTTAAGAATTTATTCATTTGAGAGAGAGGGAGATAGTGAGAAAGAGCCTGAGGGGTGGGGAGAGGGAGAAGCAGGCTCCCCGCGGAGCAGGGAGCCTGATGCGGGGCTCAATCCCAGAGCCCCAGGCTCATGACCCAACCGACTGAACCAGCCAGGTGCCCCAAGAAATACGTTTGATTATAGAAACTTTATTATCATACATAGAAATAGTGAAGAGAATTCTAAAATATTAGATTAGCAGAGATTAAATCATGATGTAGAATCATATCCTAAAATACTAACTATAGTATACATTACGCCCAGTTATTTATTTATACATACATACTCACACACACACACACACACACACACATCCTAGGAGTCTTGGGACAGGTAAAGAGATAAGCTGTTCTTTAAAGATATTTAATAAAAAGAGTTTATTGTCTAACCAGTGTTAAGAAAAGGGAAGGACTTGTGTTCAGATGGGAAAAGGAGGGGAAATGAAAGGGGCCAGAGAGAAAGAGGTGTCTGGTTAACAGGATCGTTTTGAGGGTTTGCAAGAAGCTCATGAGAAGCGATGTGGGCCATGACTATGGCAGCAACCAGGGATAAATCTCTATCACCCTCACGTTGAGTAGGTCTCCTCCTGTATTGTTGTAGGCCATCTGTACACCCTGGGAGATAGGAAAAAAAGGATTGTTTTTTGGTTTGATTGGGGTTTGGGGGAGCTTCCCCCTACTTCCAGTTTTCTCAATTCCAAAATAAACTGTTCATTGCTTATCTTGGATTTTTCCTGGTAGGAATCACACCATTGAAATTAAAATAAATTTAAACAAACATGGTACTCCTTACCCATTTTTTTTTTCCTGTTGTCAGAGAGATTGGTTTTTGTTCAAACACTCCAGGTGTTTGGTTATATTTTTAAAGCTTTAAACAAGGATGAGATGTTTCCAATTAGAATAAGAGATTTTAAATGCAACATTGGAAATCATATATATACAAATGTGAATAATATAAATAACTGAGGTCAGATCTCTTTCTCTTTTAATGTGGGAGGCTGGCAAGAAAAACTAAGCAGCATTGACTGGTTAAAGTGGGGAGTGGGTGCCCAGAGAGAAAGGAAAAAGTGCTCAGGAAACTGTCAAGTTCACTGAAAAATAGTAGTTTTGCTTAATGTTGCCTTATCTTCATCCATAGGCAGATTTTAATAACTATTAATGAATATATTTTTTCCTGCAATTAAGCATAATTTATCCAGAACCTTTCTATTAAGCCATACGGTACAATTTTGATTCATATTATTTAGAAAGTATTTGTTTTCTTCTTAGCCCCAGCTGACTTTTTTTTTTTTTAATAAAGCACCCCCTCATTCTTAGAGAATTTAATTGAAATGATTACCTGGTGATTATGGTGTAGTTGGGCAAGTTGGTACTGTTGCTAGGTTTTTTCAGTATAAGCTAGAGTATACATGTCAGAGTCAAAAATTAATTATTCCATTCTGCTCAGGATTTATCAGATCCTACTTAGAATACTGCATGTATTTTAATTTCTCTATTTTAAAAGAAATAATACAGCCAGTAGAAGCTTATGAAAATACCTAATATATATAAATCCTCGAACACTAGTACCACTTGAATGACCATTTTAGATCAAACCAAAGCAAATTTGGAGGTGGTAGTAATGAAATGAAACATAATTCTAAGGGAAGCCCCAAGTTGAAAATATAAACAACTTAAGGAAAAATTTAACAGTTCAAAAGTACTAAATCTGTAATAAGTTTCTGTATATATGAAGTACTTTGACCATATTTTAGGTAAATTTCATGGAGGGCAGTAACTGGCCTTTCCGTGTGACGCCTCTGAGCCTCTGGGGTACTCTTAGAACACCGTAACATTCTTGAACATCAGAGTGTACTTGGGGAACAGTACAATTGTCATCCTTCAACATTATTTAACAATCTGTAGTTGGGCCATTTTTTATTTTTTTAATACGCTTCTCGGAAATTATTGTCAAGGCTGCCAGGTAAACTCCACTCCCTGTTCTGTATACCTCATTGGAACATACTGTGACAGGTGTATGGAGATTTCTGAGCAAAAAAGGCATTTTGGGGGGCACCTGGCTGGCTCAGTCATAGAGGCATGTGACTCTTGATCTTGGGTCATGAGTTCAAGCCCCACATTGGATGTAGAGATTACTTAAATAAATAAAACTTTTTTTTTTTAAAGGCATTTTTCCTTATAGAGTGACTCCAGATATAATGTGTCAGTAAAACTAAATGCTTAGAAAACATTTGGTCTTTATTTAAATAAGAAAAGACTGTCTAGATTACCAGAATGTGCAGGAGAATATTCTTCTAGATTTTAAGTTTCTGTACTGATGCTTAGGAAAAAAGCATAAGAATGCAATAGCTTATTTTAAATGTTATGAGATAAACTATTTTTTTATTTTCCAATAGCAGTTTTCTGCATTGTCCGTTCACTTCTTACTTCTTGGGTTTATATGTTGATTTTTAGGATTTCTGGAAGAGGAAACCCTAAAGCCCTTAATATATATGTTACTATATGCTGTAAAATACTTTTCTAAAATACCACATAAATGAGAAAGTAAACATTTGTGACATGGTTATATACTAGATTGTACCTTACAAATAGATAGTGTTGTTATCTGTCAAAAGTTAAGGCAAATGTTTGGAGCTTATTCCTTAGGAAACTTGCAGTAAGTGGTAGTTCAGTACCCAGACCATTTTGCTGATTAAACCCAATGCATAGCTCTTCAAATAGCCCATCTGAGGACCTTTCTGGCTAGAGGTTGCGGCTTCAGTGAATGCATTGTTTGAGCACCAA